GAAGACTAACGTCTTTGATCTTCATCCATAGGTGCTTCAAGTCATCATCACTTTCAGTAAGCAAGTTTGTGTCATCTGCATATCACAAGTTGTTAACGAGTCTTCTTCCAATCCTGATGCCACATTCTTCATATGCTTCAGCTTCTCAGATTATTTGCTCAACAGACAGATTGAATAATTATGATGAAAAGATACAACCCTGACACACATCATTCCCGATTTGAAACCACGCAGCATTCCCTTGTTCTGTTAGAACAGCAGCCTCTTTGTCTATGTACAGGTTCCTCATGAGCACAATTAAGTGTTCTGGAATTTCCATCCTTCACAATATTTGTTATGATCCACACAGACAAATGCTTTCTCATAGTTAATAAAACACAGGTAAACATCTTTCTGGTATTTTCTGCTTTCAACCAAGATCCATCTGATATCAGCAATGGCATTCTATGTTCTATGTTCTCTTCTGAATCTGGCTTGAATTTCTAGCAGTTCTACATCAATATACTGCTGCAATAATTTTTTAATTACCTTCAGCAAAATTTTACTTGAGTATGATATTGTTTGACAATTCCACATTCTGTTGGATAACCTCTTTGGAATGGCATAAATACGGATCTCTTCCAGTCAGCTGGCCAGGTAGCTGTCTCCCAAATTTCTTGGCATAAACAAGTGAGCTCCTCCTCTAGTGCTGCATTCATTTGTTTAAACATCTCAATGGTTTCCCTGGAGCTTATTTTTCAACAATTCCTTCCGTGCAGCTTAGCCTTCTTCATTCATTACCAGTTTCTTGATCATATGCTACCTCCTGAAATAGCTGAACATCGGCCAATTCTTTCTAGTTCAGTGACTGTGTATTCCTTCCATCTTCTTTTGATAAAAAAGAATACATTATGTGTTACATTGTCCTCAGAATCCTCCCATATTGCATCTCAAGGCTTCAATTTTTTCTTGTTCTTTCAGTTTAAGAAATGCAAAGATGTTTTTCCCTACAGTTTTCTAACTGCTGATCTTTGCACATTTCATTATAATACTTCATCTTCTCAAGCTGTCCTTTGAAACCTTCCATTCAGCTTTTTTATTTCATCATTTCTTCCACTCATTTTAACTACTCTCTATTCAAGAGCAAGTCTCAGTCTCCCTCTACTGACATCCAGATTGGTCTTTTCTTCCTTTCCTGTCTTTTAAATGACCTTTTGCTTTCTTCATGTATGATGTTCTTAATGCCATTCCACAACTTTCTAGTCTTCATTTACTGGTGTTCATCACGTCAAATCTGTTCTTCATATGGTCTCTAAATTCAGGAGGGATATAATCAAGGTATTTTGTCTCTCATGGAAGTTGGAAGTTGTCAAAAATGAAATGGAATGCATAAAGTTCGATATCCTAGGCATTAGTGAGCTGAAATGGACTAGTAATGGCCATTTTGAATCTGACAATCAGATGGTCTACTATTCTAGAAATGACATCACATTCACCATCAAAAAGAACATCTCAAGATCTATCCTAAGCACAATGCTGACAGTGATAGGGTAATATCCACACGCATACAAGGAAGACCAAATACTACTATTATTCAAATTTACACACCAACCACTAAAGCCAAAGATGAAGAAATTGAAGATTTTTACCGACTTCTGCAGTCTGAAATTGACCAAACATGCAATCAAGGTATATTGGTGATTACTGATAATTGGAATGCAAAAGCTGGAAACAAGAAGCATCAATAGTTGGAAAATGTGGCCTTGGTGATAGAAATGACACCAGACACCACATGATAGAATTTTGCAAGACCAATGACTTATTCATTACAAATACCTTTTTTCAATATAAACGGTGACTATACACATGGACCTTACCAGATGGAATACACAGGAATCAAACTGACTACATCAGTGGAAAGAGGCAATGGAGAAGCTCAGTATCATCAGTCAGAACAAGGCCAGGAGCTGATTGTGGAACAGATCATCAGTTGGTCATATGCAAGTTCAAGCTGAAGCTGAAGAAAACTAAAACAAGTCCACAAGAGCCTGAGTTGTGATAAGTGATTAAAAGGCATTATTTGTCCAGGCTCACTTCCTAGGAAGAGAGAATACAAACTGGATCAAATGGGTGGAGACTCAGGGTCAGGCACAATGATTTTTCAGCATGCACAACAGCAGAAGTAGCAACTTGTAACCACTAGCCTTCTAGTTAGCAGTCAAATGCCTTAAGCACTATGGCACCAGAGCTCCTCTAAATAGCTAAGTCTGTAACGAAGTCCCAGGGACAAGTGTAAGGTCAAAATGGAAGCCTTCTCCTAACTCTCTGCTCTGAATAGGTAGGAGGCTTCTCAATTTTATTCATCACTAGTTATGGGAGAGTCACCTGTTTGAGTGGCACAAGGATGGCGTAACCAAGCTCCTGGACATCTGTGGGTCTCCTAATACCTGCACAGAAAAGACCCATCCATTGCAAAGTAAAAATGCCCTATAGGGTTTCCAAGGCTGTAATTTTATGGAAGCAGAATGCCACATCTCTCCTCTACAGTGATTGGTGGGTTTGAACTGTTGACCTTTCATTTAGCAGTCAAGAGCTTTACCACTGTGCCACCAGGACTCCTTACAGAGAAGACAGTGCTTCTCAAACCCCTCCTCTCTTCAGCTTCACTGCTATTTCCTTAGTTTATTCCTTCATCACCTATATTGGATTTTTTCAGGACTCCTGAATGGTCCTCCTTCTACTAATCTCTCTCTTATGTGCACCAATCTTTCTTATCACACCTAGAGTTACCTTTCTTACCATACATTTTCTAGCTCCAGGAATGGGAAGAAAAAGAGGCCAGAGAGAGGTTTAGATCAGGAAGTCTTAATATGTCATGATATACTTTATCCTGATAACAAGGGACCTATTGAACAATTTTTCAGAAGAGAGAAAAGTCAAATTTGAGTATTTAAAAAGGTATCCAGGCAGAACGAGACCTACTTCCACCAAGAAAGAAGAGCTAGGAGCACAACACATCCTATGGACCCAGGGAGCCTAAACAAAGAACCTCCTAGACCCATTGGGAAAATTGATGCCAAGACACATGGGTATCTCCAAGGAATGCACAGCCCACAGATGTTGAAAGGAGACAAGGACTTTCCCCCAGAGACAACAGAAAAAGCCTTTCCCTAGAAATCACTAAATAAAATATTGCCGTAATCCTACTGATAAGAGTGCAGATCGAAACCAAGCCAGTGACAGAAAAGAGATAAAGATAAATACATGGTATAAATGAAATCTTTTAAATGATAGAGGCTGGTGACAGCCAGTACACAGAAGAGAGGATATGAGGTATCACTTAAGTTTCTGACTTGAGTAGATGCAATTCCTATCACTGAGATAGACATACATAAGAGCAGGTTTAAGAGTAATCAGAAACTTCCAAGTGGGACAGTCAGTTGTGAATAAACAGGTTGGGAATTCAGTAAAGAGATCTAAACTAAATATACTAAAACCCAGGAGGAATAGATGAAGCTGTATATGGAAAGATACACCAAGGAAGGGCATCTAGGGAAAAAAGCAGTAAAACCATGGAGGAAAACTGAAAAGGACTTCAAAATTTGGTAAGCCACAAATAACTTCTACATCTCAACAAATCAAAATCTACTATTTACCAAGATTATTTACTAAGAGTGGGAAGGTCATTCTCAAGCAGAGATTCTCCAATGGAAAACATAGGAAAAAGATGCCTGTATAAAAAAGGTTTTATATGAAAAACATTCAGTGTAAGTGGTATTTTTCAAATCAACTAGAGAAAATAAAGATCTACAAAATCATACTATATGAGGAATCAATGCAAAAACAAAAAAAACAACTATGACTACCACTTGCAAAACAAGCCTGGGTCTTAGGAAAAAAAGGTACATATAGCCAGAGGCTGGCAGGGTCCTCTGTGACAGGTATATTCTTAAGAATGACACAACTTATGCCCCTAGAGCTTATTCACCAAGCAACCTTCTAGTTAGAATTAATTAGAATTGTAAATAAATTAGGGAGCTCTGGTAACATAGTGGCTAAGACACTTGCCTGCTAACCAGACGGCTGGTGGTTCAAACCCACCAGCCACTCCTCGGAAGGAAGGTTAGGCAATCCTACTTCCGTAGTGATACTGCCTCGGAAACCCAAGGAGGGGTCGCTATGAGTCGGGTTCGACTCGACGGCACATTAACAACAACAACATAAATAAATTAGAATTTGGCTTGTCTACAGATGGGACTGATCTGCCAACCTGAGCATTCTGATCTACTTGATAATTTGTTGCCTTCCCCTGTAAATTAAAAGGCATTGAGGTTAATATACCAGTCTTTGCGAGTTTGGTTTATATGAGTCCAACCCAGAGAGAGATCGATTCCAAGTGGCAGATTCACTTTCCATATTTCCTGGCCAAATGTGGACTGTGGTAAATTTATGAGGAAAAATCACCTAGAGGACACTGGTAGGCAGTAAGAGAACTTATCCTGGAGATACTCCAGCCTCAATTCAACCCTTCCCCTGAAATAGCATTTTTTTAAAAAAGAAAACCAAAAGATTAAAAATTAAAATGCAACTGCAAACATACTTTATTAATATTTTTATTCTGAGTTGTAATCTGTTATCACGTCAAAAAATCCAATTCAGAAAAACATCCCATGAATGTTGACTTACCAATAAAAAGTCATCAATGTGTGATTTATAATACAGAATACACAATAAATTATATTTACATGCAATGACTAGACTATCACACACAAGATAAAAAAATACAGTATTTTTATATACATTTTTTAAGATTTACATTTTCATACAATTTTATAAAGTTAAAAAAATTCTCTGTACAAAATCTAGTGTGTACAGAGTTTTTGTATCCCCATTCTTATGGATGAATCACCACACAGATATGCTTAAAACTATAATGCTACAATACTTGGGTTTGTTTTTCCTTACTTCATACTCAGTCATGGCACCCATATACTAATACCATTATTTCTGAAATGTAAATTACAAAGGAAATAAAACACAATCATGCAGACATTTTTAAATATAAGAAAATTAGATAAAATCTTCTACTAGATCAACATTTATCAATTCCATAGTTACCTAGTTCTGTTCAACTTCCTGTACTGCTTTTGTACAGGTGCATGCAAAACTAGCATATTATGGATTGTTTTTATAACACATTAAAATACTATAGTCCAACAATACTTAAGCATTAGGAATACAACAGCCCTAGACCATCAATTATTTCTGCTTTAGCAGAAACGTCAAAGATACTACATACTAAAATTCGCAAAAATGTAGATACTATAATTTCTAAATTTATAAAGTCTGCATCAGATGGTACACTGATCATTTAAAAAACAAAACAAAAAGCTGTTTGACATTTAAGAATATAGTATATTCTGTTCTGAGAATGGGGTTGGGAAAGATCTAAGATAGACCATGAAAGGATTACCCACTGTCCCTGTTCAGGAAGCATTTGTACACTCCCAATCTGTTTAAGTAAAGACACCTGAAGGTTTTATAAAATGTTTAAGATAACCTACATTACTCATCATTAAAAATCTTCTTGAAAAGTAGTAAATTGAAGGTAACAGCCCTTTCCCTCCTCCAAGTAAGCTAAAGATCAATGAGAAAATAAAGTGCCAATGTCTAAAGTATTTTCAATTGTTTAAGAGGCACTAATCCACTTGATGGTTTAGGATTAAATATGAAAATAGGCCAGGTCTGATCTGAGTAATAATAAATAGAAGGTAGATATTCCAGTTTATGCAATTCCTGCCTAGATGGGGGCTGGACCAGAAAACTACCTACTCCCCCATTTATTGCTTTGAAACCTGTATACACACTTTAAATTCTGACACAGAACAATTAGATTTCTAAGATGGAAAGCACAGTGCCTGTGCTACTTTGAAGTTGAAAAAGAAGGTGCACTCTTGATCACTAGGAGGAGAGCTGCTGAGACTCTCTTCTCCACAACTCATATCTTCACAAGAGTCCTCACTAAAATGAAAGAGACAAAAAGGAATCCATGATTTAGCGCACACTTAAACATTTTGCAGGCAAAACAGAACTACTATGTGAGTATGTCTATACTTAAGATTTTTATATTCAAAATTTAAGCTTTATACAGAGAAAATTACAGAAAGTCTTCTATGATCTCATTAGAAAATATAGATCTTTTAAGAGGCTCAAACAAATTAGTATTTACCAAACTATTACTATTGTTATCAATTAATAATTCTAGAACCTTATTGTGAGATTCTAAGTATTTTAAATCCAATAAATGTACACTAAGGACAAAACATTTCTTTTTTATAGTTAATTTAAAATAACAGGACTGTCTTCTTATCTCAGTAACTGCAGTTACTTTCAAATATCAAACCAAGAAACCAACCAGCTATGAGAATGAAATTTCTGGTCCTTTCTCCTTATTTAGCTTTGTATAGAATAAAACAAATTCAGTAAAATCACCAAATTCACTTTACAAAAAAACAATATTAGACTCTGAATAAGACAGAAATAATTGACAAAACTAGGAGCTCTGTTAGCATAGTGGCTAAGACACTTGCCTGCTAACCAGACGGCTGGCGGTTCAAACCCACCAGCCACTCCTCGGAAGGAAGGTTGG